ATTTAGGTGGTCGGGGGGCTGACACAATCTCTACTGGGTACTGGGAGTTTTGGGTGCATAGCAGCTGCAAAGAGACAGCAGAGAGGCGTGTAAGACTGCGACCCTGCATCCTGGACTCAACTCCGGGTTGTCATAATTTAGGTTGTAAAATAAACCTGTCCAAATTTCTAGATATGAGAGCCCCACCACCCAAAGTGAGATGGATGCCATCTCTGCTAGTCTCACCAGGTTTTCCCCAAAATGTTTTCCAGTTATCTATGAAGCCCACATTATTTTCTGGGCACCACCTAGACAACCAGCGGTTGAATGATGACATGCGGCTAAACATGTCATCACTGGTCAGAATGGTCCAGAGAAAACTACGGAGTCTGACATTGGAGGCCGACAGTGGTGTGGTGGGTAAAGCAGTCATCTCCCAACCAGAAGGTTGAAGGTGACTGGTGAAGTCAGGAGTCAATAACAACCTTACTGTATTTATGTGTATCTTTAGACAGCAGCTTCAAATAGGATTCAATGTCACCTGCTCTGGCCCCAGGAATACATTTGACTATGGCCACCGGTGTCTCTAGCTTCACGTTTCTGACTATGGAGTCTCCAATTACCAGAGTTGTTTTCTCAGTGGGTGTGTCGCTGAGTGGGGAGAATTGATTTGAAATGTGAACAGGCAGGTGATGCTCCAGGGACATTCATTTGGAGCTACGACTCTTGCAAACTGTCACCCAGTCACCTGGCTGAGATCCTGGCTGCTCGGGAAGCTCTGGGGGGCGGCTAGCTTGGGCTGAGCCATGTCAAGGAGGCTCCACACCGGCTACATAGGCCTTGCTAGCTGGCCTGTTCTCCATGGTGCGGAGCCACGCTTCCAAACGGTGAGCCTTGCCTCCAATGCTGCTAGCATCTGACAGTTACTACAAGTACCATTATCACTAAAAGAGGCAGAGGAATAACTGAACATGTGACACTCCGAGCAAGAGAAAGAAGGAGAAGAAGAGGGGAAAGCCATTGCTATCAGCTAAGCTGGCTTAGCTAGCCTCTAAGCTAGCCAACCTAAAGTAACAAGTTAAATTTGGTAATTAGCAAGAACTTCTGTAACACAGGTGCTTAAGTAGTGCAGGTGTATGTCGTCAACTCAAAAAATTCAGATAAGGATAATCACCTTTATATGAACAGGTATGTTATACACACAAGAAATTTGCTTCTGGTACAAAACTGAGGCAGCCATCTGTGGTGTCAACTTGGGGGTTCAGTGTCTTGCCCTAGGACACTTCGACATGTAGATTGCAGGCACCATAATTCAAACCACCAATGCTCCAGTTGGGAGATGACCACTCTACCCACTGAACCACCTAGAAAACAGTGAGCTTAATCCGTAAACAATCTGGAAGCAAGCACAACACAGTGCAGGCACAGGAAACAGAAAGTGAGTATGATTACCGCAGGAACAGGAATCAGCAGTTCTCAAGACAGAACAACTTTGGAACACCTTCACCTTTAGTTCTAACAACTAGAACTGAATGAGCAAGTGCAACAGTGGGGGGAAGCTGCCCCTCACTGTAACCTCACTGTTCCACTTCCCTCCCTCTCTTTCATACACATGTATTCCGTTTTACCACGACTGACTTTCATCCCTCTTCTTTCCAGAGCTGACCTCCACCTTTCCAGGTGTTCCTCCGCCTGCTCTCTGCTCTCACTACAGATCACAGTGTGATCTGCAAACATCATTCTCCACGAAGATTCCTGTCTGACCTCATCTATCAACCTGTCCATCACCATAGCAAACAAGAAGGGACTCAAAGCCAATTCTTGATGTAGCCCCACCTCCACCTTGAACTCCTCTGTCTGACCTACAGCACATCTCACTACTGTCGTACTCCTCTCATACATATCCTGAACTACTCTGACGTACTTCTCTGCCACTC